ATATCAAAAATAAACAAGCCACAAAACCACACTTACAACCAAGCCCCGCAGCCGTCCCCCCCGCTCCGCTCATTTCAGACATAGGTACCAGGTACTAGGACCAAGGTAACAAACGCAGGGATTACAGGGCTACCGATTCCCGCCACAAGCCCGCGGGGGACGTGTGGCCGGTGCAGGCCGGGCCCCGTCAGCCCCCACGCCAAGGGCCCCAACTCTTCACGCAACGGCCACGTCCCCAGGCGAGAGCCGCAGCAGCAGGAGGAATCCAAGAGCCCCGCTCGCATATGGCCTTGCTCAAGGCCAGCCCAGCACAAGGCCCAGGCAGTCAGGGAGCGGCTTCTCCACAGAAAACCCCGGGAAGGCCCAGCGCAGCCGCTGGAGTCAAGGCACCTGCCAAGGAGAATCGTGGTCACAGGCAGAAAAACGGGCCCGAAGCTCTGCAGAGGAAACTAAATCTCTGACTGGCTTCTACTGCCCTTTCTAAAGGGAGAAAGAAGAGAAAAAAAGAATCCCTCCCACTCAAATCCACGTGAGCAGCAGGTCCAATCGCACAGCTAAGGCTCCCCTGTTCAGTGCCTGCCACCCATCAGAGGCACTCTCTGCAGCCGTTTCATGGTTTTAAGCTCAAATCCCTTAGTAACAAGGAGTCTCTTCTGCCCTAAGTACCAGGATCGAGTCTGCAGTCGCGCCGACATCGACAGCTCCGGCTGTGCTGATGTTCTGGCAGGTTCAGAAGAGACGTCCCGGGACGGGCACCGGCCCTGCTCCCCCAAGTGACGCCCGATGCTGAGATTTACATTTAAGTAGAGTTTCCCTTCGAAAGGGAATGGAAGGATGCAGCTCTGGTGCTGCCAGGAGCAGAGACCACAGGGCACCAGGCCACGCAGGTGCTGCACGTTGTGCAACCACTTACAGGTAACTGAATCAACAGCATTAAAGAGCGAGGAAAAGGCAATGGATCCCCACGCTGCGCTCATGATGCAAGGGCATTTAATTATGTAGAAACATGGTGGCTGGCGCTACGTGTTGGGGACGGGCACCCACCACGCAGCCCAACGGAGCCAGCTGCGCTGCTCCCACCCCGAGTGGCTCCAAGTGCAGGGGCCGGCGCTGCCTCCCCCGGGGCTTCCACCACTGTGTGGTGCAGCAGGCTCTGCTTTTAGCTGCCCCACTGCCCCGCTCCGCTGGCCCACCTGCAGCTGCTGGGGTTCGGACACTGCTCTCCTTCCCAGCAGCGTCCTGACATCCAGGTGCACGGAGACCTGGAGGCCGCAGCCACACAGGAGAGCTCCACGGAGCAGGGAGAATCCCCGCTGCCCCAGAGGTTCCCGCAGAGCCACCGGGGCGCATGCAGGCAGCACCTCGGGCCGCACGGCCGCCTGTGTCGCAACGTGCGGCTCGGCGCTCCCGCTGCGGCCGGAGTGCCCACGCTGCAGCCCTGCCCGGGGGCTCCCACAGTCCCGCAGCCGCCAGCTCCGGCGCTTCCAGGCCACGGAAGCGGCTCCGTGGCTTTGCTCCCGGCAGCCTGCACCAGCTTGTAAACCTCCACCTGGCCAGGGCTTTGGAAACCTGGTTCTGGCAGGAGCTGCCTAAGCAGCTGCTACCACAGCGAGCAGCTCCAGCACCGCAGAGACCAGGCACAGAGACCAGGACCGGAGGCAAAGTGCAAAGATCGACACCGAGAGGCGCATCCGCAGCACGGGAAGGCTGCTTCTCCAGCTTCCCAAGAGGAGAGAGACGGACGAAGGAATCGCGTTTCACAGACACGGTGAACGGCTCCGTAACCCCTGCCTGTGTTTTATCTTGGCACAGTCCTTAGTTTGAGACGATTACTGAGAGAGCAGGAGCCCAAGGCAGGTGATGAATCTCTTGCGGGCAGGACACCCTGCTTGCCGCTGCAGAGCCAGCGCGGAGCTGGACGGCCCGGAGGGGCCTCCCCGCAGCAGGGCTGGCGACGCCGGCAAGCGCGGGCTGCAGGAACGGTTCTAGTGCCACTGCTCTGATATCTCGTAAGAGAGTCGGGATCTGTCTCCCGCTGGGCTGGAGCTGCCCCTCGGGACCGGCCGAGGGAAGCGGAGCTGACTGGACGCCGCAGTTTGGCTCGGAGCGGGAGCAGAGTCGGTCTCCCCATGCCAGGGGGTGGCTGGTGCGGGTGCACGTGTCGGGACCGTCAGACCCGCACGGCACTGGGCAGGGAGCGCCAAGGGAGCACCCGGCACCTGCACCCCGCCGCACCAGCCCAGAGCCGGCCGCGCCGCCCCAGGTGCGGCCCGCGCCGCAGCTCCAGGCCGCAGCGGCCCAAGGAAGGCGAGCGGGGCCGTGCACGGAGCTGCTCCCTGCGAGCGCAGCCGTGCCTGGCGCTTGGCACCAGCGGAGCTGGGAGAAGGCGGCGCGAGCAGGACGGCCTTGCTTTTGATCTTTCACCCTCTGCCCAAGTGCTACCCTTTGTGACGGGCTGTATTTCTCAAAAGCAAATAAAAAAAAAAAAGTGAACTTCAGACCTTTAAAGCTTCTGGAAATAACTCTGTGGTAGAGGCAATGGAAGGACCCCAGAACGTGAAGGGAGTCCTGTGGAGCTGCGCGCGGAGGGACGGCTGCCGGGCCAGCAGCGGTGCGGCCGGGCACCGCGCACGGGGCTGCCCCGCGGGAGCTGCCGGGTTCACCGGCACCATCCTGCCCCGGAGCGGCCGGGGCCGCGGGAGCCGCTGCGGGCGGCCCGGAGCCCTGGCGGGCTGGGGGCGGCCCCGCACCCTCCCGCGCTGCTCCCCTCTCATTAACCTTGCGGCAACGCTCAGGTTTCTCCGCACAACGTCCCTGCCGTTCTGCCCCCGGGCCCGTTACAGCTGCCGGGAAAGGGCTGGCAGCCGCAGGCCGGGCAGTCGCGGGCGACGCCGCCGGCCCCGCCAAGGTCACGGCCGGGCCCTTCCCGCACCGGGGCCGGCCCCTCTGACCTTGCTGCCCGCGGGCACCCGCTTTCCACGAGCCCCTCCCCGCGGC